GTAATGGGTTAATTAGTACGACTTATATCACTAAAACGACTATTATCGAAAAAGAGTTTGAGTGCAATTTCTGGCTTTAATTAACCTTCAAAAGATTGAAAAACCGTAAAAATCGAATCAATCAAACTTTTGTAGCTGGAAGCAATGTTTGTAACCTCATTCATTTTTCCCTCGTCCTGTTCTGCCATCCAATTGAAATCTCATCCCAACGCATGTTCTGTGTAACTTAAATTATAAAAACAAATTAAGAAAATTAATGTAGGGCTAGATTGGCTATTTACATTTTTTGATGTGTCATAATTCTTAAGTTGATGATTGAATAAGTTCCTGGCGAGTTCCACGACTACAAAATACTCATAGAAATTCCCCTGTTGTCGCGTTAAATATCAGGTTGGTGCAAAAATAATGTTCGATTTTTGAGAAGAAAGTTTTAGATTCCGAAGTGGGGATTTCAGTTTGAAAGACAAGCAAAAAGAGGGTCGTCCAAAAAAAAAAATTTGATTCCGAAAAGATGGAAGTTGTTGTCACAGACTTTCCCAACATTACTTTTAGGGATTCTGGAGAATAATTTAACGTAGACCATAAAGGTGTGCTACGCCAATTAAAAAGGATCGGAAAGGTTTCAGTAATTGGGAAAAGGGTTCCAGAGAATGTCTCCAGAGAATCTGCAACAGCGTGTTGCTTGTTGTGAATCATTGCTTTCACGACACCTTCAGGCACCATTTTTAGGTAGGCTTGTTACAGGTGATGAGAAGTGGATCCTTTACCATAATGTTAAACGCCGCCGATCGTGGATCAGTTGAGGAAGAAGATTAGTTGAACCAAGAGAAACACTTCCTCCAAAGAAGATCATGTTGAGTGGAAATATTGAAAGAATTGACCATTACGAACTGTTAAACAACAATTACAGTTAACCTGTATTGTGATCAACTTCGTCGTTTGAAAACAGTTTTGAACCAAATGCGACCTTCCTTAATGAACAGAAAGAATGTCATCATCTATCACGATAATGCTCGTCCTCACACAGCTCAGCTGACTAAAAAAATCTTTTGGAAGAGCTTGGTTAGGAAATATTGCTTCATTCACTTCATTCTCCACACCTTGCTCCTTCTGATTATCACTTGTTTCGGGAACTACAGAATCATTTGGATGGTCTTAGGTTGACATTAAGAGGGGAGTTTGAAAATGAGTTAGATTCATATTTTGCTTCAAAACCTAAGAAATTATGAAAGTGGGGCATTTATAAGTTTGCTGACAGATGGAATGATGTTCTAAAGACAAAGGAGGTTATGTTAACGAATAAATATTTTCATAATCATGGGCTTTTTCATTTTTAATATAGAGCTTGAAATCGAACATTACTTTTGCACCAACCTTATATTTGAGCTTAACAATTTTAACAAGTCTGACTGGGTTGATTTTGTTTCGCGACATATCAACCTCTATGGGTTATTTAATGCCGAAATCTACATATTTTGAACGCACTTGTATGCCTTCAACTATAGATAAAATATATTGTTGGTCATTTTACTATAAATAGGTATTGTTGGTTGGTTGATTTGTTTAATGGCATTTCAAGGCCTCTTGGGGTTATAAATAACCCTAAAGTCGAAGTCTAAATATTTTGTACATGATTTTATGCCTTCAACTAAATTGTATTCCTGGTCTTTTAATATAAAATGTATTGTTGGTCCTTTTTAAATGAAAGCCGTATTACTGGTATTTTTATTATAAAAATGTATTTTTATACTTTCATAGTATTCTGTTTTTGTTTGAAGGCGGTCACCATTTGCCTATAGGTGGGATCCTGGGTCAGGGTGGATCTAAAAACTACAGTAATTAAGAGGTAGTTCTACGCTCCTCAAAACCTCCAATCTCCTGTCGGACGTAGTCTATCGTCATACCCAGAACTCACAATTTTAACCAAATATTCCAATAACGATTATAAATTAGATCGCAGGTCTTTTTTTCCTAAAATTAAAATGGTACAAATTGATATTTTTTCATTTCACAGAAGCAGACGTTAAAAGAATGGCTATCGCTTCCTTTATCTTTCTTTTCTGTCATTATTATATACGCATTATTTTTCTTAATAAAACGAAGAAGTGTGTCTAATATATCTTTTTCTTATCTCTTTCCTCCTTGCAATCAAAGCGGAACGGTCGATTATTTATCCGAGATAATGACGAAAGTGGTGGCCTTTTATCAAAAACGTGATAAAATATGAACTAACGAAAAGGACAAGCAGAATTTTACTGTGGTTTGAATTTTTTCTTTTGAATTAATTACTCATATTTAAGCCAAGAATCAAAACGTGCTGTGTGATTAAATTATTGACGAGCTTGTCTAGATCAATAAAGATTGAGTAGTGATTTCGATCCTCAGTGTGTACTCTACGGTTAGAAAATCATTTGGGCTCTTCGACTTTGTGTAATGTTTAGCAAGTTTGTCTCGCTAGATCAGTTATAGCTGAATAGTGAGTTCGATCTTCCATGGGTGCCCCATATCTTCGGCCTTGTGCCACATCTGAGCTATGCTTAGAAAATCATTTGGGCACTTCGACTTCGTGCAATGGTTAGCAAGCTTGTCTCGCTAGATCAATTACGACTTAATAGTGAGTTCGATCCTCAATGGATGCCTCATAATTTCGGCCTTGTGCCACATCTGAGCTACTCTTAGAAACTCACCAACAAAATAATGCTAATAGTATGTTTTTAACCTTTTTTATTTTTTAAATTTTCATATAAATAATATGCTATAATTAGAGAAAGACATTCCTGATATCGTAAAATAAAAAATACTACGAATTAACAATACTTCATTTAATAAAAATTCAACGTATCTTCTACTATATACAGTAGGAGATTTGCACCATTTACTATGACTCGCAAGTCATGATCTGCAATTCATTTACACAACCTCATTAGGTGAATGACTCGTTGTTTCCCTGTTCTGTGAGTGTTAAATTCCCCAAGCCTCCTTTCCTCCTTATGTGTTCCAGAAATTTCAACTCTCCTTTTTGATACTAAATATATGTATCCTTTTCGTTCCTATTTTCCTAAAAGCATCTTTGTTGATCACATGTTCCATCCATAGCATTCTCAGCATCCTTCTGTAGAACCATATCTCCTTTGGCTCAAGTCTCCTCTTCATCTGGTAGGAAAATTTCTACCACTCACTGCTATAAAGGAGAACTGATATTACGTAGTACTTCATCAATGTGTTCTTTGTTTCAAATGAAATTTGATCTTTCTTAAGACTTTGGCTTTTATCGGGAGGTATTAGTTCCAATACATCTCCAAATTTTGGGGTCACATTTTTTTTTCATCTGTTAAATCACTTCATTTTGTTTTCTTAGTTGATATCGTTCCCGCTTTCCTTTTCAACCTTGTCGTAGAATTTCTGCGGTTTTCTTTTTCTTTACCTGTCATCAACACAGTGGCATTTTTCGTATCTTATGTTGGTAAGATTGTGTGCAACATTTGAAACTGATGTTTACAATTTTCGAAAATGGTAACGACATTAGATAAATTACATGATATACTATGATTTTTCTTCAATTAATCGCCATTTTTATAAAGATTGATATATGAAACAAATCCAGCATTTACTTCAAGAGTTACCAAAATATTCTCAGGGTTGGAATTACTGAGAAGTATAAAGATGATATTAAATCCATTTCAAAGTTTAAAATGTCAAAGTTAAAGAAACCCGAAGAATCTTAAGAAAATTAGAGGGGGGGGTAGATTACCCAAAATAATTTTCTTAAGATTCTTCAGCTTTTATTTATTTCTCTTGTAAGTACATTTTTTTTTAATTTCTACCAAACTTTGCAACTAAAATTTCTTCGGCTTGTCTCTCCGCTACCCCGAGAGGCAGCCTGTCTGACAGGAAGACTACTCCGAATGCAGAAGTGTGTAAATTGATTGATTTATTTCTTTTTACGTCTTAACCATTTTTCAGGCGTTCTGGGTAAGACTATAAACTACGCCCAACAGCAAAGCCTCTATTCAGGAGGTTTTTAGGAGCGTGGAACCACCTCTTGCTGTTGTTCCCAAGTTCACCCTGACTCGGGGTGGTAGCACCTGTTAGAGAGGGACAGCTATGGTCAAATAGTTAATCGCCAAACTGAGCTTAAACACTATGAAGTATAAAAAATAGATTTTTATAGTAAAAATACCAGCAATACATTTTTGGTAACAACAAATATCATCACCAATACATTTTTGAAAATAAAAAAAAACAAAAAAACATATTACCAGCAAAACATTTTTGAAAAATAAAAATATTACCAGCTATACATTTTTGGAAAACAATATTACCAACAATACATTTTTGAAAAAAAAATATTAGCAATATATTTTTGAAAAAATAAATATTACCAGCAATACATTTTTTGAAAAAAAAACAACAAAAAAAACATATTACCAACAAAACATTTCTGAAAAAAAAAAAAATTACCTGCAATACATTTTTGGAAAAAAATATTACCAGCAATATATATTTGAAAAAATACTAGCAATATACTTTTGAAACAATAAATATTACCAGCAATACATCTTAAAAAAATTAACATCAATACTTTTGGCTCTCGACAAAAAATCCTCTTTAGAAAAAATACATCAGTGAAACCTGATCTACAGACCGAATTCTTAGAAAGAATACATATTCTATTCATACGAACCTACCCAAAAAATCTTGTTGACATTAAATAAACCATTGAAGTGTTGATATGCCATAAAATAAAATAAATCAAACCAAACCATTTTTCAGGTTCTATAAGGCCAGAATTTATTTTTAGATGTTAAGATTTTTGGGAGATAATACTGATTTACTGATACAAATTCTACTGATTAACCCATAGTTGGGAGGAGAAGAGTTGGATTCATAAATTTCCCAATTTGCGAGTAAGTGGATATAAAGAACCCAACTAGAATTGGAATTCGTCTCTTCGATTAACAATTTCGAGCCATTATCCATCACACCATCCACACATGAAGGCTTACAGCAACTGATATTCCCAAGCGGTCACCCATCTAGGTAATAACCTGGCTCGCCGTTACTTAACTTCGGTGGTCGTACGAGAACGGATGTTTCAACGGGATATGACCGCAAACATGCCAGTAAAGTTGAGGTATTTTGTAAGCTACTATCTTTTTGGCTACCAGATTGATCAACTTGGAAGTCTCCACATATTTCTATTTAATACGACAAACGATATAGGGACAGCAAAAAAGGTGACTAGTACCGAAAGAGAAATGAACGAGCCGATTACATATTGCCACCCAGTCTATTGTTTTTAATAATTTCCCACGAAGCAGGCAATAAAGCCTCTAAGATGCAACGGGTTATTGAATGCGAGAGATTATGATAAAAAGAAAAGGAGAGAGAACATTAAAAGGACAAGATTATGTTTTCAGAAGAAGAAGGCTAATATAACTACTCTCTATCATCTAAGGCAATACAAACTGGTCAGAATGTGGTTAAGACTAAGTGGTAATGTGACCTCGGGGTTGCCCAACGGAAGTACATGTAAAGGCACCTATCCATACGCGACATGACTCTGCAAATACCACGACTTTTGACAAGAGCAACCACTCTGAGGTCTACTAAAGTGTTCGGGTTGCTTGGTACCAGTTTGCGGCGCATCAGACAGAAAACTGCCAACCTGGTAACCCGATAATGAAAAGGCGCAACCACTGATTAGTCAGATCACCAAAAGATTAAGACAGCTAAATCATTAAGACCATGGAAGCAAGAAATGAACAGAGAAACCCTAATCGTAAACAGGAAACAAGGGACAAACTTCTAATCCTGTTCAATAATTAGGTTCATTTTCGTACTAATGCTCTTGCGAAAGTCGTCAATTCATTTCTTCTCATCGCCGATAGCCATGGGTTAAATAACAAGGCAGACTAGGCCATGAATAGCCGCCAGTCAAGGAGAAGAACAACACTGAAAACAACGCCACTGTGTTTCATTTCAATTGACTGACAATAAAGAAACTGAATCTGTTAAGAGCCTTTGACATGGCATTCAAAGAATTATGGAGTTAGGCTAGTTACAAGTACAGGTTTAGCAGGAAGTCACTTCTCGCCGATGGAATAAGGAGGGAAAGAAGGTGGTTTGCTGCTATGTAAGTGGTATGATGTGTCCTTGTCTTGAAGGTTTGAATTGGCAGAACCAGGGAATGTAGTTCTTCCGAGAAGTTTACGTGGAAGTAATTTAGTGTGATTTTACGATCTGTCATTTCTTCTTCTTCTTCTTCTTCTTCTTTATTTCTCAGAGTTTTTAATCGATTTTTCAAAATCATTTTCCTTTGAAAAACGTTTTTATTTCTTTATTTGTTGTATCAGTTTTTCTTCTTTTACCTCTTCATCTTCTTTCTTCCCCCCTCTCTCTCACTGTTTTTCTGCATTTTTTATTTTGTCTTCTGGTATTAGTAACAGTTTATACTCAGAATCAAGGGGGAGAGAGAGAGAGAGAGAGAGAGAGAGAGAGAGAGAGAGAGAGAGAGAGAGATGAACATTTTTTTCACATCCAACGAGGAAAGAAGGCTTGGAAAGTAATTCTTACAGAACATATTGAGACTAAGTGAGATAAAAAAAAAAGTACATCACCACCTAACCTGATGAACTAGTGTGAATGGATGGTAGAACGGGGGTGAGGCGTTAGGATTGGCAAACTTTGCCACAATGAATAGGAAGTTGTGGAGAGCCCTGATCGCCCAATTTCTATAGAGTCATGACACATAGAAGAAGATTCTGTCAATCCTATCTCCTTTCCAACATTTGTCGATTCCTCATTATTTTTTTATTTTTTTCCTTTAATTATTTTTTCTTTCTTTTCACTTTCCTCTCTTTTATTTTCTTCTTTCTCTTCATTTTCCCCTCTCTTATTTTCTTCTTTCTCTTCATTTTCCCCTCTCTTATTTTCTTCTTTCTCTTCACTTTCATCTCTCTTATTTTCTTCTTTCTTTTCATGTTCCTCTCTCTTATTTTCCACCCACTTTTTACTTTCTTCCCGTCTCTTTTCTTTAAACATTCCTTTCTATTTATTCCTCAGATTCTTTCTTCGATTTTTCAAAATTGTTTTTTCTTCAAAAAGTCTCCGTCTTTTCCTTCCTTTTTCCACATTTTTTTTTTTTGCTTCCATAATTTCTCCGTCTAATTTTAAGAGATTTTTTTTTCGTTTTTTTCTGTTTTTTTCTTTACGCCATTCTTGGTTTCATTCCTCTTCATTTCTCTTCTTTATTTACTAATTTTAAGAAAAAAAAAAGTTTTTTTTCTTTATTTAGCCACTTGGCGTTGCTTTTTTTTTCTTATTTTTCTCTTCACCGCCATTTTCTTTCCATTTTCTGAATTTCTTTTCTTCCATTATTTTTCCATCTCCGCCAAATCCAAATACACCCATCTTATCCCTCACAGAATCATCTCAAATTTACGTAACGAATAAAAACCATAAGAAAAACATAACAATATATTATCCTTGAATTTCACTGCGGCATATATTTTTTTCGTTCTAATTACAAATGACTTATCATCCATTTTCATTCATTCAGAATTTCAGGCATTCATTTAATTGTTAGAATATCTAACGAAATGGAAGAGAAAGATGAAACATAGAAAAAAGAGGAGAGGAAGAATAAAGAAAAATAATGCGGAAAAAATAAATAAAAGTGAAAAGAGAGAGAGAGAGAAAAAGGTGTGTGGGAGAGTAAAAATAGAAAAAAGGTGAAAAAGTGAGTGAAAAAGAGAGAAAGAAAGAGTGAGAGAGAAAAAAGGGAGAAAGAAAAAAAGAGAGAGAGAAATGGGAGAAAGAAAGAGGGAGAACGAAAGAGAGGAAGAGAAGAGAGAGAGGGCGAAAATAGAGAGAAAAAAGATGAAAACAAAAAGAGAAAGATAAACGAGAGAGAAAAGTCAGAGAAAAAGGAGAAGAAAAGGAAATAAAAAAGGAGAAAAAAGAGAAAAAGAAAGAAAAAAGAGAGAGAAAAGGGGGTCAAAATGAATGAAAAAGTTTTCCCATATCTGTTTTAATCCTTTTATCGTACCACATGATAGAAATTGTTAGAGTTTATTACGTGTACCAAGTTTTATGCCTGGAGTAAAAATACATATATTTAATTTCGTTTTTCCTTTAACATATTTAATGAGTAATTTTGCGGGTCAACAATGAAGTCAAACGAAAAACTTCCTTAAGTTTCTAATGTCAGTGTACATCAAATAAGTTTCAGCATTAACAGTCTTTGTGTATTTTCGAAAATGTGCCTGATAAGATTAATTATATTTATATGTATGGATATTTCTTTCAATTGTCACATATACACATAGACATAAAGTATTATGGTTATCGAAGCAATAGACATTTATTAATATAATTTCGATTAAAGACGAAAGTCAAGTTTTTTTTTTCCTTAACCCTTATCTTTTTTATCAGCCTCCAGGACATCAGTGATCATGGCTCTCCATAACCTCCCTTTCTTTGTAGCAATGTTTATCATTTTGCTATTCCTCACACGCCCAGTTCTACCATCCATTTACACAAACACTCTGTCCTCTTGTCTTCAATATATCAAATTCCCCCAGACCCCACTATGTGTCCCAGATATTTCAACTGTCCATTTGGTATTAAGGATGTGTTCTTTTCATTCCCATTTTCCTTAAAACATCATTCTTATTCACACGTTCTGTTCATGGTATTCTCAGCATCCTTCTGTAGATCTACATCTCTGTTACCTCAAGTCTCCTCTGAATCTGTAAGGAAATTGTCCAGCATTTATTATCATATTGAAGGATTAATATTGTATAATACTTCAAAAGAACAAATGTCTGGATCGAATAAATGATATTCAAACGTTTCAAATTTAGAACTTTCAATCCTTCTAGTTGACTTTACCAAAGTTAGTAACGTTAATAACAGCTGTTTACATACAAGGAAGCATTCGACATTCATTGACCGAGCAGCCGGTACAACTTTTGAAGCTGATTTAAGTCTGACACCCGATGTTTTGGTATTTAATGCCGATAGAAATAATTAGTACAAAATGGCTTGGAAGATGAACTATTTTGGAACTTGGTTTCGTCTGAGACCCGATATTCTGGTTCTTAATTACGACTGAACTTGGTAAAACGAGACTCTATTTGAGCGCGAAAATATTCTCGAATCTATTTTACCCCCCCGCTTTTTTTAATTTACTGATGCAACTAATGCGGGGGGGAGGCACATTGGAGTAATAGGGAGCGGCTTGGATTGAATTCCAGTCGAATCTATTACATTCACTTACGTGCTAATATCCTTGGGAAAGGTATGGATCTTCTCCCTAGCTACGGGTAAATAGCAAAACAGACTGGGTCCTATAGCCTTGTATGGCAACTGGTCTACCGCAGAAAGAAATGGCAAACTACTGCGGGAGAAAATCTGCCTCGTCAGTCATGTATCGAAAGATAAATGATCGCCTAAGCGTGTATTACGCATGGCATATAACTGACTGGCTGAATTAATGCGGGGTTATATTTTATTTACCATCACGCGTGCTTGTCTCATAGTATAATACCATTATTTATTTGTCTCGTTGTGAAATACCATTATTTACAGTCGGACTAATATCCTCATCTTTCTTGTTACGAGCATAAATTTTCGGCTGTGGTGCCCTCCGACCTTCTTCAAGTTTATATTGTCCAGGTTAGCATTCATTGAATTTCAAACCGTATCCTTTATTTGATTTACGGGGGCTGATGAGGGCAGTGATATTATCCCACAAGACAGTAGCATAGCGGATTAATATGTTGGTTAGCATAGTAATTAAGAGTTCAATCCCTGGGCCCGGTAGTAAAGACTCTTCACTCAGTGGAAATAGAATGAGCAATAATTGAGTGGTACTGAGAAGAGAATAAAACGAGGTATCCGTAAGCAGGTAAATCAGAATGAAAAACAATCTACCTGTGAAGATTGAATAAAAGGTTCGGTTCGAAATTCTCCTGAATCGACAGATATCTGATGAAGATCAGAGGACACAACGGCCGAAACATCATGGTGACAATAGACCGGATATAAATAACTCATCATGCCATTAATTTAAATCTAGGCAGAAAAATGCCAGTTTGTCAATGAAACTTTTTCCTACCAACCCCTTGACATATAATTTAAGGGGAAGGAAGCTGCAAGAATTAACATCGACTTTTTAGTTAAAGTCTTATGTAAATATTCGCCATGTTTTTTTCTCGCGAGAAAGAAAGCAAATAAATTGACAATAACAGAATTTGAATAAAGTCAATATTTACATTTGTTGCAATTAAAATGATATCAAAATAAAATCTAAATAACACATCACGAAATGAGATACTGACAGAAAGATTTACACGCGATTCAAATTACACAAGGAAATAAGAGAGAGGGGGGAGAATGGAGGAAAAAAGAAAGAGTGAGGAAGAAAGAGGAGGAAATAAGAAAAAGAGAAAAGAGAGAGATAGAGAAAAGAGAGAGATAGAGAAAAGAGTGAGAGAAAGATTGCAAAAGAGTGGAAAAGAGTTTAAAAAAAATAAAGAAAAAATGATGAAAAAAAGAAAGAATTAGAGAAGGGAGAAAGGAAAGAGCGAGAGAAAAGGGAGAAAGGAAAGAGCGAGAGAAAAAGGAGAAAGAAAACAGAGAGAGAGAGAGAGAGAAAGGAGAAAGAAGAGAGAGAGAAAGAATAAAGTGGAAAATAGACAAGGGGAAAACAAAAACGAGAGACAAAAACGAGAAGAAAGATAGAGAAAATGGTAAGAAGAAAAGGGAAGAGAAAGAAGAAATAGAAAAAAGAAAGAAAAGGAAGAATAGAGAAAAAATAATGCAGAAAAATCAGTAAAAGAGAAAAAAAAGAGAAAGAAGAGGTGTGTAAGTGAGAGAGATAGTAAAAATAAAAAAAGGATGAAAATGTGAGTGAAAAAGAGAGAAAAGGGAGAGAGAAAGGGAGAAAGAAAAAGCGAGAGAGAAAATAAAGAAAGAGAGAGAAAAAGAGAGAGAGGGGAAACATGAAGAAACGAGAGAGAAAAAGTGAGAGAAAAAAGAGAAGAAAAGGAAATAAAAAGGGAGAAAAGAAGAGAGAGAGAAAAAGAAAGAACAAAAGAGAGAGAAAAAGGGTAAAAATGAATAAGAACAGTATTTTCTCAAATCTGTTTTAATCCTTTTATCGTACCATATCAGAGAATATTCTTTTTCTTATCCGACGGGGTGAGAAAGAGATAAGCCAAGCGTATTAGACAAAGCATTTTTACTAAGTTTAGGTTAGTCAGACACAAGGCCACGACTACGGACGTTTTTAAGTTTTTTTTTTTTATTTACTGTTATTTTTTTTTATCGTTCAAAATGATAAATGAGAATGAGATGTTGATTTGATGCACCTTGCTACCCCTCTTTCCCACAGGACAGAGTGAGGGAAAAGAGAGACAGAGAAAAGCAGCGCGTAACATAACTTGATGAGATTAAGTAAATTAAGGATAGAACAGGGCCTGGGAGAAATAACAAAATCGCAAAACTTATTACGAGCTACAAGGGACAGAAAGATGTGGAGGACCATAATCACCTACGTCCTGAAAGGATACAACACATCAAACAAGAAACAATGTCACATATTTCACTGGCTAAAACCACGAATCTCTGCTTTGTGGAACCGACTCCCAAGGGGATGCTTCTCCGATCACAACCTGTTCAAGTCTAAAGTAAACCGTTATCTTCTCCACATGCCCTCATATAAACAGTGCCACTTACTGTTTAACCGTCTATCTCGAGTGGCTCTTAGGCCTTGTACAGGATGAACATCATTGTAAAAGATTAAATCACACAACGTGATTCCATTTAGAGTTGAAGTTCAAACTTTGGCAGAGACCAAAATATGAAATGAAACAAAAAATAGACAGAAGAAAATTTGCTTTTTTCTGTTTAATTTAGAAAAATTACGAAGATTTTTTTTCTTCCCTTTTTGTCGGAGGACATCGCTTTATCATTTAGTGATAAGACAAATGACAGTATGTCAGGCACAAGGCCTCAATAGTGAAGCCAATGTGAAGATCTAGCCGAGTGAACCATCGCACGATACTAGACGTACAACGCGAGAAAGCGATTTGCATACTTTAAAACACTTTTTGCTGCTTGTTTACGTGACGATGGAGGAGGAGAAAAATCTGCGTGATAGGCAACCAATCAAAATCCCGAAGCAGTAGTCGGCTTGGTTTGACTCGAGTACAATGGGAAAAGAAGAAGAAGAAGTAAAGAGAGTAAGAAATATAGAGGATCACAAACAAGAAAGTAAGTAAAAAGAGAAGTGAAAGTATGGTATACACGTAAGGACGTGCGTGTGAGTGAGAGTGTGGAGGGGAAAAAAAGAGAGAAAGAGCCCGCTGCTAAACAACGGAACGAGAACGCGCGCTGAAAACGTGAAGTTTGAAGCATAACGTTAGCTAAAATCTCGCTTGCTTTTGCTATTTTCAGAGACCGCGTTCAGCTGGCTCTCGGAGAGGTGTCCGCGTTACGAGCCCTGCTTTGAACAGGAGCTCGGCTAGCGAGATCTTGAGGAAGTAGCCAGCCAGAATTTTTTTAAAAACTCTCCAATTTAAAGAAAAGATAACAAAAAAGTAAAAAAAAAAACAAAAAAAACTTGAGCTAAAACTGCATAAAATCGGAAACTGCTCACTATAAAAATTCCAATACTTAGAAAAAAAATTCTTTTTCTTTGGTTCGTGGTTGTTATTTTATATACACGTGTGTGTTTTTCATTCAGAAATACAATATCGGAAGAGTATTACCCACAAAAAATACCCGGGATTGTTACACACTGTTTGATGTCATATATCCACCCGACGAACAACTCAAAGGAATTTTTTAAAAAAATCAACAGGAAAATTACCATTGGAAAAAAATAAAATAAACAAAACATCGTTAAGAAAAATTTTTCCAAAACCGCCTAAGAAATTTATTTTATTAAATACATAAGCTAAAATACTTCGTTTAACTACCAATAAATATTTTACTTCATCTTTTAAGGTTAGTAACACAGAGCGACAAACATCTTTTTGGATATAAAAAAAAATACCACAAAGTTTTATAAGTGAAACTCTAAACGAGGTAAAACCTTAGAAATCTGAAATATTATTATTTAGCTTATGGACAAATTATAACAACAATTTGAAAATGCCTAAAAAAATATATTTTTCGCTTCTACCTTTATTGGTGGTACTGTGTGCGTGTGTACTTTTTAGCCCTGTACAAGGTAGTTGTCAAAAACAAAACCTTTGTTGTAAAGGACGTGACAACAAATGCTGGACCTACGGCGAACCGATGAATGCGGCTAATTATTCTCAGGGTACCGGTAACAATACAGATGATGCCGATGTGATTGCAAAATCTCAGAAGCGTTGTTTTTGTGACGAGGGGTGCTCTGTTCTCAATGACTGCTGCATTGACTACCCCTACGTTTGTAGACGTAAGTAGTTTTGTTTTTTTTTACTTTATTTTGTTTCTTTTTTTTTTTTATTTGCATTCATTATTATATTTGATTAGCAACAAACAAAACGAATCGGCTTTTTGATTATTTCTTGTTTATTTTAAAAATAATATTACAAGTGCGATTACCGTTTACCGAGCATGCTTTTGAAAGTGGCAGTGATTTATTATCTTTTTACGTTGACCTCCAGAGGTCAGTTACGAAATCTAACTTCAAAAGTTCATTTTATAACAGCCAGGCAATAAAAAAAAAATTTGAGTTGATTTCCAGCTTCAACTGAAGTCTTAATTTTGTTTTCTCATTAAAAGTATCATTGCGAATAAATTTGTTGGTACCCGCAGATGGAAACGTATCAGAAAATGCCAATCACGAGATAACTCGTCGTCGGTACAGTATAACTCATAATCAGCTTCATAATAAAAACTACTAGCCACGAGTGTTAAGGAAAAGGTTTTTTTGTTTTCCTTTTCAAAACAATCGAATTATCATTATTAATTAATTTTATCTATTTTTTGATGATTTATTTTTAAAGGAAACACTTTAATTTCTTAAACAACAATAATAAAATTCTCTGATTTTCTAGGTTGAGAAGTTTATCATATTTACACTCGAACTATTATCCTTATTTTTGTTGTTTTTATTACAACGTTTCGAAAGTTTTGTCCTTTGCCCTTCATCAGGTGCTTGTCGATCTGGGTAACCTTCAAGAAGAAAATTAATATCATGCTCGAATAAAAACCCTAATCCCACCATAGAACATTTATTTCAGTTCTTTTGTTTAAAAAATAAAAGTTACTGCTCTTCCTAAGCGTGTTCTAAACGATAGTCAAGCAAAAATGAAAATCGAAAAATAATGTTTGTTAACAGACCGGCTTTAGTCAAGTTTACTGCCTTGTTGGAAATACTTTACACAAATTCTTCACTTCTTTCCTAAAATATGGCTTACTTTGGGTCGTCACGTCACGAATCCTGTAACTAATAGGGGCGATGAGGCACCACATGTATTGCAGCTATAATAGCAGTAGCGTGTCTAGGGCAGGGTTAGCCTGACGGAATCTGGGTTAAGGCTGGGTTTTGAAGTCGGTTTCCTTTCATTCTCCTAGACTGGTTACCACTCCAAGGCAAAAGAGCTCAATTAGCTCTGCTATTTAATCCATAGTTGGTCGGAGAATAGAATGATTCATTCATATCTTTCCAAAGTTAGGTAGAAAACCACAAATAGTTAAAGATCTTTGGGACTAGTTCATTAACCATTACCATACAGTAAATCGACCTAAACTTGGCTATTGATTTGTTTTTGTAAGCTTTGCTTAATTCATGGACAACGAAACCTACATGGGTAACTCAGTAGAGATTGAAGTAATGGAGTACCAGAGCCAGTACACCACGAGGAAGCCCCACCCTTACAGTCTGTCTTTTCCCACAAAGACTGAATATGGCATAGGATTTTTTTTTAATCCCTTGAAAGTACCAGGGGTTCTTCCGACTGCTTCCAAGTTATTGACTAAACGTAACTTAGTTCTGACACAAACCTGAGGCATTTAGTAAGGATTGAACTCCCTATTCAGTATTAATTGGTTTACGACACTAGTTTGTTATCTAGGGTACGCCACGGGCTACTATTTTAGTAGAATGGTCCTCTTGTAAAAATCAAAATATTGGGGAATAATTTTGGTAGATTATCATCCACTAGACCCTTCCCCAAGGGTCAAAATCGAAAAATATTGAATTTTTTAAATTATTTTCGATGAAGAATGTTGTTCATAATATCGATATTGAGTAAAAAAACAAAGTAAAATCGATTTATAACTTTTTATACTCTATTTTTAAGTAGTGTCCGCCACAGTCTCACAGTTTCCTTTGTACCAAGCAAAACTGAACTTTGAAAAGATATTTATAGGAAGCTGGGTTGTGTGTGTGTGTTTGTTTTTTGTGTGTATGTGTGCGTATGTGTGTGTGTGTCCGTGTATGTATGTGCCTGTTTTTGTGTGTGTGTGTGCGTATAAATGCTGACAGAAACTCTCGAAAAGAAATGCATTGACCATCTGAGAGTTTTTGTTTTTCTTTTGTTAATTATTTTGAAAAAAAAATCGACAAAACCAATGAATGAAACGTTATCAATTATAATTATTTCCGCATCTATCACTCTATCTATGCTAAGTCGTGACTAGGGATTATTACGAAGTAGGAGTCTGGTTCCTGAAGGGTTTGTCTATTCAACCCTTTGTATTTAAAAAGAATAGGAGCCGGGAGAAGAGCTCACATTTTAGAGACGTACCCACGCACATGTGGACTGACACGCGCGCACATACACACAAAAATGGGCTGATTTTTATATTTGCTAAAATCACAAAAACTGGATATGACACAAAGCATTTTTATTCTCCCCACCCTCCAAACGTGCCTAGGAAAACAAATATTTCTCAGCTTCTTTGGGACGACTCATTTATCAGGAATTAACCCTGAACTTACCACTTTCAGTGAAATCAGGGAGGTGCTCCCTGAAACTGAGATATAAAACTTCCAGCTCCGAATGACAGTTTCATGTAGAGGGATTTAAAAATACTTCAGTATTTGAATCAGGTCCACTATGTATTTTTCGAGAAAAAAAAAAGTTCCTCATATTTACTAAGATCGGTATAGTGCAAGACCGAATTGGGTGGGGTTGAAATGACGGTAGGGATATCATATTACGCAAAGCTTCCATATGGGGGGGGGAGACCTGCTTACTTAGAAAATCACTCGAAATTTTTGCTCAAACGTCGAAGACACTACTTAGAGTGTGTGTGTGTTTGTGGGGGGGGGTTAACTCCCTAAAAAGTAGGGAAAATTTTGGAAAGAATTTTTGTAGATTTGCATTCTTTCGATCTTAGACTGCAACACTCGTTAGAATCGAAAAATATTGATTTTTTTTAATCATTTTAGGGCCCTAATTATACAGTGTCGAATCGGTCCCTGGCTTTTACAGGGTTAATGATCTTAAGTCCCTTCGCTGTTATTTCCAAATGCCAAGTTTGAAACTAGCCTAACTTCATTGATACAGTGTAACCCGGATATAAGAGAGTTGTCGGGGCCGGAGAAGAAGTCTCTTATATCCGGGTTTCTCTTATATCCGAGTTTGGTCTATTTTGTTTATTTAAGTATGGGAACACTTTAGGACCAGAGAAAATTTCTCTTATATCAGGGTTACACTGTATATACATTTCTTTTTTTAATTTTCTGAATTTTAATTTTTCTTTTTAAACTTTTTTTTTTGTATTGGATTTTTTCGGAATAAATGTTTCGATTCTGACATATCTCGCAACCTAAGGAAGGTTTAAAGAATGTTTTTTAAATTTTATTTTAAATATCATCACTGTCACTTTGTATCGATAAAATTTAGATCTGAGCGCGAGGGAGGGAATCTCGCATTCAATTGAATTTTCTTATGAAGTTCTTAAAGGTTTTAACACACACACACACACACACACACACACACACACACACGGATATATTTGTTGTGATTACTTTGCAAATAATCGTTTCAGGACCCTCGTTGGGGTTGGGTTGATAACACGAAAATCATTTGAACCCTACCCTCCGTGAAAAAAAAAATGTTAAGTTATATATATATATATATAGGGTTGGTGCATAATTATCAGGCGTTTTTAAAACAATATTTATTATGAAAAAAGAAACATAATTCAACAATAACATTTTTAAATGATTATTCCGGAGCGCATGATTATCGACACGCATTTTTAGAACCTGAAAAAAAAAAATTTTTATTTAAAAAAGTAAACAAAACAGCCAATTTTATTAACAAATGCACCAACCCAATAATTTTAGTGTGCATATTCTTACTCGCCACACCCAACATAAAGCCTCTCCCCCACCCCGAATAAATCTACCCCCGCAGAACACTGTAGAGAGTACGAAAATGTAAAATGATCCCAGTCTACTCTGCTAT